CATACAATGTATTTTTGGCTATTGATACAAATATACCCCAGCGACTTAAGACTGGTTTTGTGGTCCAGGGTCACATATATCAAATGTCATTGAATAGCTGATATAAATATTGAGATAGATGTGTGGTTTTTAGTTATATTGCTCATCCTGGGTTTTTTGGCGCTCAGCCTGTTAATCAGTCCATTTTACCTTTTAAGAGAGATGTGGATGATAACTGGATTCAATCCCTTGGGTCCACTCTGCCGCCTTATTCCAAATATGGACTGTCTTGTTTAACTTGTGCCGTACAGATAAATCTGTATGTTGTCCCTGGAGTATATATGTAATGTCAACAAAAATGCATGGCAGGGATCATGTTTTTTACGCATTTTGTAATGACTTCTGCTTAGACAAACTGTATCAAATAAGATGGGATTGTAAATATGTCCCGAAATAGAAGAGTCACCCTCACCACCACATCTGCTGCTTTTGGCCATTTGAGAAAAGAGCCAGTGAGGTGCACAAGATGGAAACATTGTGTTTGCAGGCCTGAGGGAGACTGTGTAACAGGGGTAGCATCCTACAAATGCCTTCTTTATTGCATCGCTCCAGTACTCTGCACAGGCTCAGGAGCGGGAGCAGGTCAGGATGGGGAGAGGCATCTACTCACTCTCCAGCATACAAACATATGTCAGCTGTGCTGTGGATGACATCACTACAGCCCACTGTCACCTCCAAATAAATCTTCCATGTCTTTGCAATAAGAATTTTTTTCTGTTGTTGCCAGTAGTTCAGTTTTGCACTTCCCTTGCCAATATTTTAAGTCCACATCAAAAATGCCAAATTTACTTTATTTTTCTCTCAGACCCCCTCCCCCCACCCCACTAAATTAAATAATTTATGTAATTATAATTATTTTTATATATATTTATAATCACATTTACACTATTATATATAAAACAATATATATAATAAAATATATATCTTGTTCACTTATTGGCTGCACATCCAACACTCTGCTAAAAATAGTCTTGTCAATTTGTTTGATTTTGCTTTTGTGTATAAAGAAACCAGGAAAAAGTCTTAAATGCTTAATATATGTATATATTTATTTATTTTCAAAACATATTTTCAATTTACTGTGAGTCCTAAATGCTTAATATGGGTTTTTACATTTACTAACATTATTAAAATCAAAAGGCCTATCTGTTAATATTATTTCATGGCTGTTGTATTTTTATTAACTAACATTAATACATATAAATAATAAATACTGTAACAAATGTTTTATTCATTGTTAGTTCATGTTAGCTAATGGATTAAATAATGTTGGCAAATAGGACTTTTTATTTTATTTTATAAATATATATTTACAAATTAATGTTCATACTTCTATTTATACTATATAATCCCTGTTTGGCTACTTTCCTGTTAATGTATATATACACATATATTTAGAATATTGTTAAAATTCTTATGATCAGTTATTTTTTCCTTTTTTTTTTCTGTACATTGTTTAGAAAACATTAAGCAAATTGATAAGACTGTTTTACTGAGCTGATAATGCAGCTTATACATGATTTAAATCAAGAAATAAGTACTTGTGTAAATGATTACATTGCAAGGAAGTGCTCGTGTTTGCCAGTTTGTTAGCAGTGGGATGTACTCAGATCTGTCTCTGAAGCCAGAATTGGCAGAACATGGCTCATGTCCAGACCTACCACAGTCATCTGCGTCATCGGATTCACACACACACACACACACACACACACCTGAGCCTGCCTCAAACCCCCAGTGTCTGTGCAGCATGAGGAAACACGTCCACTACTCTGGTATCCTTAACATCACTATTTGATAAATAAGTTATTATTGGAACTAGACATCTGAAACTGGGAATCTGAAAGTTTGGCTGGGGTTTCGTTCACCAATAAGTCTACACTTTTATAGGCGTCTCAATGACATTAACATATAACGAAACATAAAACGAATACATTTTTGCCTGATTTGATGTGTCAGACTGATTTCTTTTTAGTTGTATGGTTGATGTACTGTGGCACGTGTATCTTTAAAGGTTGTTCCTTTTAATGAGACACAATGAACGCAGTCCCTTGTTTAGAGCTTGTTTTAACATCATGGCATGCGCTGTGTT